TAGAGGAAAACAAGGTCAGAGAGATAGCGCAGTGCCTAAAGATCTTTCCTTCCACGTTGCCAGCCCCAATTCAGTCCCTGGCAATTGCCAGAGAGTTATGAGCACTGTTTTCCTCTAATCTTGGACAAGTCATTAAACCGCTCCCATTTTCCTCATTCATAATATGAAAATAAGAATAGCACTAATATTATTGTTCTCATGTCAAAACTAAATTTATGTAAAGCACTTAAATTCCCACCTGACATTTAATTGGTGGAAGTGGGGTGGGGGCAGGAGGGTTCAAACCCAACAGTGATCAGGGCTTACTCCATTCTCTGTGCTCAGGGATCACCCCTAGCAGTTTGGAGGACCATATGGGGTTGAACCCTGGTTCAACTGAACCAAGGAAAATACCCTAGCCACTCTTTCCCTGACATACAATGTTATAGTACTTATCATTTTCAACCAAATGAAAAGTTCCGGAGTTGTGGAACTTTGCTGGGATAAACTATTTAAATTTGAGACCAACACAGTCCTAGAAGGTTATAGCCACAAGTATTTTTTTTAATCCAGTCTTTTTTCAGTTGATATATAAATGAAATAAAATTTTGATCAGAATTCCAAAGAGATTTCTAAAAACTGAAACTTGTGAAAATAATTATAAAGGTTATGAGAACTGCCTATAAAGTTTAGGGAAAATAGAAGCAATTTGCTCTACCAGGTTTTGAAACACTAAAAAAGAAATAAAAAGCAATATACTAATCAAGACAGTATGGTGTTGGCAAAGGAGAAAAGGAAAACTAAGAATTATTTGGAATCAGAATTAGCAAGCAAATGTAAGAGTTTAGTATTGGAGCTGAAGACATTTCAAGTGCAGAAAGAATGTGTTATATAATAAATGGTCTTGGGACACTTGTAAAGAAGTTGGATTGCTACTTTGTACTTGATACTGAACAGTATTTCAAACAGTTGGAAGATTCAAGTATAAAACATGATCAAGGTAATAAACTTGATGAATTTTAAGTGTATACATTTTAAAATTGTAAAACTTGGATATTAATGCTTTGTGTGATTCAATAAATTGCTTATAATTTTAAAATTTAGGGTTCAATTTGCTATATCTCTATCTATCTATCTATCTATCTATCTATCTATATATATATATATATATAAAAGCATGAGACACTGTCAGCCACCGCCACCAGAGATGGTACAGCCCTGATGATGGTGAACCTCACATCCAAATTTTTTTTTAATTTTTTTAATGAATCACCCATGAGATGCAGTTGCAGATTTACAAACTTTTCATGATTACATTTCAGTCATACAATGATCTAGTACCCATCCCCCACCAGTGCCCATTCTCCACCACCAATGTTCCTAGTATCCTTCCCGCCCACCCCCCATACCTGCTCCCCTCCACCCTCCACCTATGTGGCAGGCACATTCCCTTTTACTCTCTCTTTCCTTTTGGGTGTTATGGTTCCCAATACGGGTATTAATTGGCCATTATGTTCAGTCTGTAGTCTACTTACAGCACACATCTCCCATCCTGAGCGAGCTCTCCAAGCATCGTTTACTTGGTGGTCCCTTCTCTATCTCAGCTGCCTTTTCCCCTAGCATGTGAGGCCAGCTTCCTAGCCATGGAGCCATCCTCCTGGACCTTCTCTCTACTATCCTTGGGTGTTAATCTCCCATTCTGTTACTTTATATTCCACAAATAAGTGCAGTCATTCTATGTCTGCCTCTCTCTCTCTCTCTCTCTCTCTCTCTCTCTCTCTCTCTCTGACTCATTTCACTTAGTATGATACTCTCCATGTTGATCCACTTCTATGCAAATTTCATGACTTCATCTTCTCTAACAGCTGCATAGTATTCCATTGCTCACATCCACTCTTTCCTCTGCATGGTGGCCCATCATCTGAACAAGGCACATATTTCCATTTTTGAGGCTGTTTTAGTGATGTTCAACAAAACTGATGCTAACACAACACAAAAAGCAATTTGGAACTTGGGTCACTAGGTCAGAAAATTTTATAATTACAAATAAGATGAAAGATAAGGGCATCACGATTGCCATCCTGGTTTGACAGTGCTGACTTTATGGAGCACTGTGTGGTCCAGTACTTACTTTGCATATATTGGCTAATTTCTCACCTGAAATATTATGATTTTTTCTATTTTATGGACATGGAATCTGAGCCTCAGGAGGTCAGATAATTTGCCAGAGATCTCACACTTGATTAGTAACAAAGTTAGAATTCTAACATATGTAATTTAGCTTCAAAATTGATACCCATCACCACTTTACTGCCTTATGTAGGAAACACAAATATATAAACAATGAAGACAAACAGTGAAAATTGACAGTGAACATTGACAAGGATTACAGAGGTTGATTCAATGCAGCAAAATCAAACCGTGTAATTGCAAAGAGAAGAAAATGAAGTAGACAAATTGGTGAATTAGAGATGGTGTTGTACCTATACTTGATTATAAGATGTAACTGTTTTTCTGACTTTCACCCCAAAATGTCATATTGACTCCTTTTTTAAAAGATCGCTTATCCATTCTGTTTCTCTTTAGTTAACCCATACCAAAAATACCTTTTGCATTTACACAAGAAAAATTTCCATATGTTACCCGACCTTTCCCCCAGAAGATCAAATTATACAGTTGTTTACTTGTGATAAATGAAAAAGAAACACTTAGTAGACTCTTTAAGTTTCTTTAAGAATGATAAACAGTCAAATCTTTGTTTTTAAACTTTTTTATTGAATCACTGTGAGATAGACCCTTACAAAACTCTTCATGATTGAATTTCAGTCATACCGTGTTCCAACACCCATCCCTGCACCAGTGTACATTTCCCAGCACCAGTCAGTGTCCTCAGGTTCCCTCCCACATCTTACCCCCTGCCTGCCTCTGTGGAAGGCACTTCTCTCTCTCTCTCTCTCTCTCTCTCTCTCTCTCTCTCTCTCTCTCTCTCTCTCTCTCCCCCCCCCTCCCCCCGCCTCCCCTTTTGGGTATTGAGGTTTGCAATATTGATACTGAAAGGTTATCAAGAATATCCCTTTACTTACTTTTAACCCTCAGATCTTGTCTAGCATGATCATTTCCAGCTATTATTGTCATATGAACAGTCAAATCTTGAAGGATCTTAGAGGCTTCTGAGATGCCCAAGTTATCTCAAAGGCAATGAGAAGCTTCCAAAGAATGTTCAAGTAGGGTGCTGTTGTGATTTGAATTTCAAAGATAGCAAAAATAGTGCTCTAAGTAATCTGAAGAGAGGATTGCAAAGATGCAGGAGAAGACTCATTAGGAGGGTATTGCAAAAAAAAAAAAACCTGATAGCTATTGGGTAACATTGCTTTGTCCTTCAAGAAGCTTAGGTTTTATCTGGTTACACCCATTAATCTGGTTACACCCATCAATCTGGTTACACCCACCACAGTGCTCCAGAGGCACTTCCACTTCCATTGTGTAAGATCAGTTTCCCAGAAATCTATGATTTTATATGTATGAGTGAAATATTGCCTTTCTTCTCTCCTTATGCCTTATGAACAGTTTACTTTAAAGTAATATCCTTTTTGTATAGATACAGAAAGACCGTTAACATTATGCTTTGTAACTTAGAATTTGATTGGCCTTAAATATTATTCACTCCTGGGCATCTGCTTTCTCGACTTAAGCCTCAGTTGCCCTTAGTTCCTAACACCCCAAAAGCAGGGTCCCGACGAGGGACTGAATGGACCCAGGGCAAGCGGTGAGCTACCCTGGCAGCGAAATGGGCCAGGCCAAGGTGCCACTATTCTTAACTATAAGTTAAGAGTTTGATCATAGACAAATGCTGTCATGATCCAAAGGTAATGACAAGACTAGGATCCTGCTAGGGGTAGGAAAGACTATCTGGCCTGAGCACTGTAGTCTGAGATCGAGGTGGCCCTAGGAGAGCAATTCTATAAGTTTAAGATATTTCTTACTGTATCCATACAAAATGATTTATATTATATTCTTATATGCTTGTCAGACAAGGAGAGGAGAGGCACACCCATGGGATTATGCTCTAGGGTGGGTCCTCCTGCTGAGGAAGGATTTGTCCTAGGAGTGGTCTTCCCTGAGGCCAAGATTTCTACCCCTGTTGATCTCTACCCCTATTGATTGTGACCACACCTATATGTAATTGTTTCCCCCATTCTCTTGGGGAGAGATATAAGGAGACCGTAGATTGGGGGGGGGGGGGGGGGGCGGCAGAGACAGAAGGAGAGATGAGGAGAGAATCAGAATAAACTACGACTAATACCTACCAGCCTGGCCCTCGTTCCTTCCTCTGCCTGATCATCGCCATTGACCTCTCGGGGGGGGGGGGGGGGGGGGGGAGACTACCGAACACGGGTGGTGGGAGAGATAGAGCCACCACCGCTGTGGGTGCCGTGCCCCCTCTTGTGTGAGCTTACACAATAGCAAGCAACAATACTAGTGGAGAGAGGTGGACAAAGTTGAAATATATTTTGAAAGTTCACAGGACTTGCTGATGAATTGTATGTTAAGAGCAGTGATAAACAAGGATGACTCCTAGTGTTAGTGCCTAGATATTTGGTTTATGGTTGGTGGTTCCATGAGAGGAAAAATTTCTCTTGAAATTATTGAAGAGTGAAGCAGGAGCAGAAGTTTTCTAAGTAATCATTCCCAGACTCAAGGTGTAAAAGATATTAAAATTGAGGCATATGGATAAATGTTGCTACTCTTATCGAGGACAGTGGCTAGAAATAAACCCTTTGAGGCTAGACCAGTAGTACAGCAAGTAGGGTGTTTGCCTTGCATGTGTCTGACTTGTGTTCAACCTGTGTTCGACCCCTGGCATCACATATGGTCCTCTGAGCACTGCCAGGAGTATACCCCTGAGCATTGCCGGGAGTAACCCAAAAAGAAAAAAAAGACATCTTTTTCAGCCTCACATACATCATCATATGTGAGTTTACTACTTTCGTTAATCTAAAATTTGTGTTTCTTTTCTCTAGGTAATCCAGGTTTTTGTTCCTTTTATGTGCCATTTGCCAAGACCTTGTATTCTTTAACAAATAAACGCTTTCCCGTTTGGACTATCAGTCATGCTGGACATGCCATGGTCCCCAAAGACAAGAAGATTCTTGAGACCTCAGATGGTATGTCTTTATTAACATCTGCTTTCCTTCACAGTGGGGGGATTCATGTTTCTCAAAAAGCCTGCTAAAGTTAAGAGTTACATCAACGGAAACCTTTGCTTTTTGGCATGGGGCCCACGATGCCACATTTTGGTAATTTAGAACTTTAGAGTTATTTAACTCTTCTGCAGGTAATTTTCTGGAAGAATTTGGGCTGATCAAATAATCTGTCTAGGACTTCTCTTTTCTACTTACCAGTTAGAAAATAATTGTGTAGGGACTGGAGAGAATATTCTGAGTAAGGCCCTTACCTTACCCGCCAGGAGTGATTCGTGAATGTAGGGCCAGGAAGAATCCCTGAGCACTGCCAGGTGTGACTCCAAAACAGAAAAAGAAAGCAACTCTATATTAATTGATTGCATACTACATTTCCACGATTGCACTAAAAGGGAGGTGGAGCAAAAGCATTAGAAGCCTTGGTCCTTGTTCTAAAGAAGCTCTTACCCTCTGACATTTAGAGAACAAATAAATGACACACTCTGGCCTGCTGATCACATAGATATGGAGTGACTAAACAAAGCCCTAGTACAGTTTGAATTTGAAAAACATTGCGGTGTAGGCAGGTTTTGAGTAGAATTTGTATTTGAGGGGTAGAGGTGTAGTAAGCAGCAGGTGGAGAGATTCAGTAAGTATGCTCCTGGTCATCAGGGCCAGATTGGAAGGAAATCTTGGGAGTTTGGCAGGAACCTTAAAAACTGGAGGGAGAGCTTAGACTCCATGTGGTAGAATGCCTTGAGGCTTTTAATGAAGGGTAATGTGGAGGTGCGAATGACCTGCTTTTGACTTAGGAGAATGCTAATCCTTGTGTTGCTCTTGTAAAATATATAATGCTTGCTCTTTTATGTGTGTTCATTCTTACAAAAAAAAATCCAGAAGGGACTGGGGGGAGATGGCTCAACAAACCAGAAAGCTGGTTGTGCTTGAGGAGCCCTAGTTCAATTACAGCACCACCTACTCCCCCAAAAACCACTAGGAGTAGCGCATTAGCTGTGTGTCATGTGTCATGTGGAGAGAGAGAGAGAGAGAGAGAGAGAGAGAGAGAGAGAGAGAAAGGCAGGGAGGGAGGGGGAGAGAGAGAGAGAGAGGCAGGGAGGGAGGGAGAGAGAGAGAGAGAGAGAGAGAGAGAGAGGGAGGGAGGAAGAGAGAAAGAGGTGAAGAAAAATGTAACTCAGCTTTTTAAATAGGGATTTCATTTAAGGGCCATTAATTCCTACCTCTTAGTGAATTTACGGTAGGAAAGAGGTGATTGCAGCTTTACTCCATGGAGGAACTTTCTCCAAAATAGACCACATATGGGGTCACAAAACTTCTCCATAAAATCAAGAAGATAGAAATCGTACCAACAGTCCTCTCAGATCGTGATGCATTGAGAATGGAGGTGAATCACAAACAGAAACAAAGGGGAAACTCTGAACACTTGAACAGTTCACTACAGAATTAAATGGGTAATAGAGGAAATCAATGAGAATGAAGGTACAAGCTACCAGAACATATTGAACACAGAAAAAGCAGTGGTAAGGGGAAAGTATATAGTAATGCAAGCATGCACTAGAAAGCAAGAAATGACCCACAGAAATAGCCTAACTACACATTTTAAGCAGCTATAAAAAAGCTGTAAGGGGGAAAAAAAAGAAATTTGCTGCCCTGTGGATGAAGCTAGAGAGCATCATGCTGAGTGAAGGAGTCAGAAGGAGAGGGTCAGACACAGAACGGTCTCTCTCCTATGCAGATACGAAGAAACAGAAGAGGGGAGTAAAAAAAAAAAGCCCAAGGCAACAAAAACTAAGAACTTACCATTAGTAGGAAACTTATCACAGGGAGGTGGAGTGGGTTGGCGGACACTGAACAGTGAGAGAGGGAAGTAGATACCTGTGTGGAGGATATGGCGCTGGAATAAAGTGTCCATCTAGAAAGACCATCAAAGTGGAGTTGTAGGGCTTCAGTACGGGGATTTTAAAGGACAGGCCCCTAACCATCGACCTTCCAAATCTCATCATACATATATATTGCTTCGTGGGTCACACCCAGCGATGCACAGAGGTTACTCCTGGTTCATGCACTCAGGAATTACTCCTGGCCATGCTTGGGGAACCATATGGGATGCTGGGAATCGAACCTGGGTCGGGCCGCATGCAAGGCAAACGCCCTACCCGCTGTGCTATCACTCCAGCCCCTCAACATGGATATATGATACTGCATATAAGCAGGAATAAAACATACAATTTGCCTCTTAAAACATTTTTACTGAGGATTTATATTTTTTCAAGTTTTAGCTGCTCTATCTCAGAAGTCTATGAGAGTTTTTAGAAGCTATACAATTCTAAAATAGATTCTTATTTTAATCAAGCCCTACTGTACCTGAACACGCAGTTATTGGTGAATTTAGGAACCCAGATTACCTTCATGCACATAGAGCAGATACTTTAGTTTGCTGGCTAGTGTGGAATTTGATTCTCTTTTCTTTTCCCTCCTGAAAGCAGATTCAAACTCTTCCTGTGTTATCTCCTTGCCAGTGTCCCAGCTACCTGACTCCTCTTGACTTCTTTTAATTCTCATGCATGGTCATATAGAGCACCTTCCAGAAATGTTAATTCTTATTCCAGAATCCTGTTATGTTTAAGTAGACCTTAACATTAGATGCCAACTCTTGAAGATGGAGTTTCAGCCACCTTTTCCTAATTTCATTCTCACACTTTGATTTTTCTGAGTGCCTACTATGAACTCACCTCTTTGTCAGTACCTGGGAAAAAACAAACCTGTGCCTAAAACAAACCTGCCACACTTGCTCTTTTCATTGTTAGATAGTTCTGTCACCTTCCAGACATCGTTGTTTTCTTAAGGCATCACATGCAAGATGGCCTTTGTCTCTACAAACCCTCTCGTCCTCTGTTAAAATAGTTTCCACTCTCAGTTCTCAGGTCCTTAAGCAATATCATCCAGACTTTGTTTCAGTTCTTCAGGTGCTCCAATTATTTCTGCCCTGTCTACCCACTTTACCTTTTTAATTTTCCTAATTATTTTCTATTCGAATTATAACTATGGATTTAATATGACCCCTATATAAACGATTACCAAAATTCTGGTTGGTATCCTCATAGAAATAAAAAAATCAACCCTAAAATTCCTCAGGAACCACAGAAGACCCCAAATAGTTCAAAACAATCTTGGGGGAAAAAACAGCTGAAAGCATATTTCTATTTCAAACTCTATTACAAAATTAATAAAACAATACAGTACTAGAACTAAACAGACCATTGGAGCAAAAAAAAGCGCGTAGAAATAAGCCTATATATATATATATATATATTTGTGTGTGTGTATATATATATATATATATCTCACTATATCACTGCCATCCCGTTGATTGTTGAATTACTTGAACGAGCGCCAGTAACATCTCTATTCCTCCCAGCCCTGAGATTTTTAGCAGCCTCTTCTTACTCGTCTTTTTCCCAACGATTGGAGGCTCTTTCAGGGTCAGGGAAATGACACCTCTTATAGTTACTGGTTTTGGCATATCGATTACGCCACAGGGAACTTGCCAGGCTCTGCCCGTGTGGGCAGGATACTCTGTAGTTTGTCAGGCTCTCTGAGAGGCATATATTTATATATTTTTCTCTATGGTTTGTTTCCTACTGTCTGAATCCCATTAGATTTGGTGTAGTAATTGTGGAAAATGGGTAGGAAGTGTCTTATAATGTGTCACGCAGCCACAAAGCTGCTGCTCAGTCCAGAAAGCGGCCTGGAGCATTGCAGTGGTTGGGTACTGGAGGTATGCTGCGGGGGCTGGGTCCCTTGGAGTGGGAAGGGCTCTCACCCGCCCCACAGCCTGGCACAGAGTCCATGTATATATATCTTACCAAAATTCTTTGACACGAGTGCCACAAATATACAATGGGGAAAGGATAATATCTTTAAAGTAACACTGATAAAAGTAGATATTCACGTGCACAAGAATAAAATTTGGACCCCTATGTAGTATGCTAAGATTAACTTGGATTAAGTTCATAAATATGAGAGTTGAAATCTAAAACTCCAGGAAGAAAACAGGGAAACCTCCTGGAAGATATTATAGTAGGTGATAATGAGGCAGTTAGAGAAAGATTAAAACTGTATGATCTCAGTTACATGTGAAACCTTTAAAAAGTGAGAGTTCTAGACCCAGATAATAAGTAGAACTGTGATTGACAGGAGCTAAGGGAAATTGGGGGCTTTGGTAAAAATGTATAGACCTCTAGGTTTTTTTTTGTTTTTTTGGTTTTTAATATTTATTAAGTGAAACACCATGAGGTACAGTTGTAGACTTACAAATTTTTGTGCTTGGGTTTCAGTTATACAATGATCTAGTACCCATCTCTCCACCAGTGCCCATTCTCCACCACCAATGATTCCAGCAACCCTCCCACCCTCACCCCCTCATCCCCCCACCCCAGACTTCTAGTTTTAAGTTGAATGGGTGTACTCATTAGAAGAACAATAGAAGGATAACAGGATTCATTGGTTCTAATTGTTGCTGAGAGTGCCTCAGAAATGCCTGCCCCTCTATCACTAGACACAGGTCCCACCAATATTCTTCCTATGAGGGATCCTGTCTATAGCTGGGTTGGCTCTTGTGATTCTTAGATGATTGTGGAATGCAGTGGAGCAGGAAACATTAAGAAAGGCATATGGCATTTCCAAGGGTGAAGAGCACCTTGGGTCTCTGCCTTTTTGAGGGGCCAATGATAGGGTATTTTGAGAATTTACTCTTTATTGGCAGAATAAATATTGAGGGCTGGAGCAATAGCACAGTGGGTAGGGCATTTGCCTTGCATGTGGCTGACCCAGGTTCAATTTTTTCGTCCCTCTTGGAGAGCCCGGCAAGCTACCGAGAGTATCCCACAAGCGCAACAGAGCCTGGCAAGCTCCCTGTGGCATATTCAATATGCCAAAAACAGTAACAAGTCTCACAATGGAGACTT